AATCAGCGAACAATAGTATTGCTAGAATTTCTATCATAATGCTACAAAATTATCCTCGGGTTTCTTAGCGTCTCTTCCTCAGAGTACCTGTTCATTACATCTTGCATTATATAATCTGTTCCTGTAAATAATTTAAAAAAAAACCCATGTGTGAATTTCTACATATATATCTATCCTCTCTGTATTATAGGGAAAACCAAGTCATAACAAGACAGCAAAACAATTTCCTAGAAAAACATGCAAAGGATAAGACATATAAGACCACAATATAGATGATCTTCCATAGTTACTATGTTTTCTCTTGTTATTTTCAATACATTTGTCCACAACACTGGCTTATTATAGTTAAACATAGTATCACCTATTTTTATAAAAACTTAACTTTGACAGCATTGTAGGATTTGAGAGCTGTTACTAGTTAATACCAGTATGGATATCCTTTACATCTTGTCATCTTCAGAGTAGTTGCCTCTACTTTTAGGGTTGATACTAACAAGCATACCAAATTCAAATAAAATCAGCCAAGGCCAACCCATAGTCTTATGATTCAGATTCAATTAAGATCAGTCATAGTAAGACAATGTAAGCAATAAAGGATTTCAGTTTAAGTTAATAGGAAAGTAAGGATAGTTACCATGGTATAACCTGCTATTTTTGGGTCAAGATGTCTGTGCCCTCAAATCTGACATGAGTGGACAGATCAGAACAAATTAAATTCAAACTAAATATGGTGATAAGACTCCTGTGTCTTTTAAATTCTTATACATCATTAACAATGACCTCTGCCTTTTTTTAAATAATGTTTCAGAGCTGTCTATACTAAAGACTATAGTTTACTGTCTCTGCCTCATGCCTGCTACTCCACTTTTCAGCTATAATTTGTCCACCTTATTCCCTCATTCCACTGTCTGCCCCGTTCATTGAGGCCTCTCTGCCACTATTGCTGGAATCCTGGTAACTCTTCCTCTCTTTCTCTGTAATGTCCTTCAGCACTCTCTGTAGGGTTGGATTGGTGGCCACGAACTCCCACAGTTCCTCCTTGTCTTGGAAATATCTTATTTCTCCATTAATTTTGAGAGAGAGTTTTGACGGGTATATGAGCTTTGGTTGCATATTATTTTCTTTCAGGACTTGGAATATTTCTCCCCACTCCCTTCTTGACTTAAGAGTTTGTGTTAATAAGTCTGCTGTTATTTTGATAATTTTCCCGTTGTAGGTAATCTGCATCTTTTCTCTGGCTGCTTTTAATATTCTGTTCTTTTGGTGGATTTCTGGAATCTTGATTATTATATGTCTAGGCGTAGATCTGTTTTGGTTGTAGGTAGCTGGTGTTCTGTATGCCTCTTTTATCTGGATATCATTTCTTTTTGCTATACATGGGAAATTTTGCTTTAATATATCTGTGAATATTCTTTGTATTTCATTTTTGGTTTCTCCTGCTTCCTCACTCACATTCTTTATTCTTAAGTTATGTATCTTTTTGTCATCTTCTAGTTTTTGAATTGTTTCTTTCTGGTTCCTTGTTATTTTTAAGAGGCTTTTTCTTTCACAATCATATGCCATAAATCTCTCTTCAAGTTTCAGAAGGCTGTCTTTAGTTTCTGTCAAGGCATTTTGCCAGTGTTCAATGGAGTTTTTAGTTTCCTGGTATTCTCTTTGGATCTGTTTCATGTATTCTAAGTTATGTTTAAATTCTTCTTCAGAAGTTTCTCTTTCTTTTCTGATTTCCTCAGTTCTTCCATCTGTGTTCTCTTGGGCAGGGCTTGTCATTTCTTTAATCAATCTCTTTATATCTTGCCTCACTTGGATCAGGAGTACAGCTTTAAATTCATCTATGAGATCATGGAGGTATTTTTTAATTTCGGCTGATACTGTGTCGAGCAATGCATGGTTACTGTGCTTGTTCTCTTCAGTGTTTACTTCTCCTGGGCTTATTTTCTCATGTTGGGCAGCTGGATATTTTTTTTTTTTATCTCTTGTCATGTTTCTGGTTTCTTTCAGATTGGAGTGTCCCAGGGGTCTCCGGCCCCCTCCAAATTATTCAGGGCCCTTCAGAAGCATGCTGACCTGAGTCCCTGCTGTCTTCCCCAATTTGCTGTTATCTGGGCTAGGCTGGGATGCAGGGGCAGTACAGGCTAGTCTCCAGCCTCTGTGCCAGTCAATCCATAAATTAGGCTGTACTTTCTGGATGTCACTGAGTTGTGACTATTTTGTATCTGCTTATTGGGCCCCAAGCAGAGGCTTGGTTAAGCCCCAGTAGCTCCTGCCAGTTCTCTTTGTACCAGAAGCAGCTGACTGATGTCACTATGGCACAGGGTTCTGCCCAAATCCCAGCTGTTCTCTTCCAGACCTCTCTGTGACAAGAGCACCAGAACAGCAGATCTGCCCAAATCCAAGATGTCTCCCACTAGTTCTCTGTATGACACTGAAGCCAGCACATACTCAGGCTCTGCCCAATTTCAAGATGTCTTCCACCAGACCTCCCTACAGGGGGACTCGGTGATGTCACTGAGCTGTAGGTTCTGCCCAACTCTAAGATGTCTGCCACCAGACTCTCTGTGTTATTGATGTCCCCATGGTGGCAGACACTGTCCAGTTCCAAGATGTTCTCTGGCCAAACCCAGCAGCCGCAGGGTCCCCAGTACTCACCAGGGTTTGGCGCAGGTCCTTCTCCCGGTCCACCCCACATTACACCGCCCACCTTTCCCGCGCTGCCAGCACAGCGCGGAACAGTCAGAAATCTGCACAGCGTGTGCTCCTGGCACAGCTTGGAACAGTCAGCAATCTGCACAGCGTTCAGCCCCAGAGCTCCAGAGCCCCTCACAATCTCCTCTGGTGCAGTGGGGCAGTCCTGGCTGCTTCTTGGGGTCCCAGGTCTCAGTTTCTAGCAGTCACCAAAAGCCGACACAGCTTTTCCTGTTGGGTCCATGGGTCAGTTTGTTGATTTAAAGGTGCAGGATTTGCAGCCTCCCGTTATCATTCTTCACAGTCTCAGCACGACTTTAAATCCTCCAGCTGCACTGTCTTGGTTAATAAGAATCATTATCTATTTGTCTGGCCCTCTCCAAGTTGTCATATTCTAGCCTCTAATATGATTTCTCTGGAGAGCCTTTCCGCCCGATCCCCTAGCAAGCCGCCATTTTTTCCCCCCAGTAATTGTTCTTAAAGTAATACTTTCCAGGAAACATTTTCCTAACTCCCCCTTCACAGGTTTTGGAAATTAATAGAAGAAAAATTGGTACAAAGGAAATTACCTTTAGTTAATACTGGAAGAAAATGGAGGTCTAGAATTTAGTCATCATTCTTTTCATCATTACAGAATTCATCATCAATATCAGCAATAATGTCCTTATTAGACACGTGTTTTTTAAAGTGGGTATTTCTAGAAGTTCCTTCTTAGAAGGTAAATAAATAAGTATACCAGTCAGCTTTCTTGTCACAATTTAAAAAGCAATGGTTTAATTTAGCTTATGGTTTGGGAGGATTTGGTCCTTACATACCTGGCTCCTGGGCTGGAATATCATGACAAAAGAGTGCGACAGAGAATAGCTGCAAAGGTACAAAGTTCAAGGTTGCTTGGGAATAGAAAAGATGAACAAGCCAGGGGCCATATATAGGAGCCAAAAATCACACCTGCATGATCCACACAGACAAACCTATGTGTTGACCTACTAATCTGCTAAGAATTTCTTACTTTAAAGAAATTGAAATGCCAGGATTAATTGTCCCAATGTCTTATTAAAATGTATGCTAATAGCTGGCCATTAAAAGAAATTTTCTACAAGTTAGAACATTTGACACAAACTCAGTTTTTCATTCCAGATACCTATGGTTTAGAGTAGAAATGAAATTTCATTTGGTTTCAATGATGGAATGAATTCCTTCCACATATTCAGTTTCTTGTATTTTAAGAAAAACTCAGTTATTTTCTTGATGACTTCCAAAGTTTATGTACGTGTAAGCTGTGTACAAATATGTGTGTGTGCAGAGAGTCTGTGAGAGAAGTGGGGATACGGAGAGAAAGTGATGATGTGGAGGAAAAGTGTGGAAGAAAACTTTTCTAAGAAAAGTTGTAAGATTGGTTAAAATACATTTAGGGCTAGAAGGTTTCTCTTTCTTGATTTCATGAGGCAGGATTAGAGCACAACTCTCAACAAAAGTCAGGATGCTTCTATATATAAGATTATTTGATATCCTAACTTCCATAGGTCAACCCTAGTACTATCTACTAGCCTGTGTGATACAATGTGGGGGATTATTCTTAGAGGTATGTCTAGGTGAAAGGTTCTGATTCACAGAGGAATGGGACCCAGTTCCCTAGATAGGCAAATAGAATTGAACTAATTAAACGCAAAGGAAATATTTACTCCAAGGGAATGACTTGAGACCTGAAAATATGATATATTACCAAATATAAACAATGAGTTTTCTGCTAAAAATATATGTTCATCTAGGATACTGAATAAAGAAATGTAAAGAGATACCCACTGAGTCTTCTTAGTCACTGGATTTGACACAACCTGTGAGACATGTGTACAACTGTGGAGGAGAACCTAATAGTATCAGGCTAAACTTTGCCCAAAGGTGCTGGACCCCAAGTTGCCCAAAATCTCCTTCTTGTGATAGAAAAGGTCTGGTTCAGAAGACAGATGAGAAAGAGGGCATCTGTTATTGTTCTCTGAAAAAAAATACTATCAGTGAACACAATACTGAAATCCTCCATGAAAAAGACACAAGATTCCTCAAGCAGGTTAGAGTTGAAGAAAAGAATATGACTTACAGAAAGCTCCACATCAAAGCCTTGACTCGAAGACTATAGTAGGGGAATTCTCACACCTAACTCAACAGGAAGAACAAAGAGGGAGTGTTAGGTCAGGTGCAACATGTGTTCCACTTACGCAGCGGTCACATCCTGCTTATTCCAGAACCATGGCTCATCTAAAGCCCAGCCCTAAGATTTCATATAAATGTGTCCCTGACACTGGCTACTCATCTGCTATACCGTCTCTGGGACACATCTGTGGCTGTATCTGAGATCAGGGTGAGTGCTTCTATGGGAACCAGGAAGGGGAATAGAGAGGGAGCTGGAGAGATATCTGGGAAGAGGAAGTGTTGGAGTGTGAAGTAGGAGAGTACAGTGGGCAAGGAGAGACATTCAAAAGTAATGAGTTGCTTGGGAAAGAGCAGAACCATCCTGGAAAGTATTATTGCTGTAATGTGAGAGGTAAAGTACAGGTGGTTCCAGTGGCTGAACTCAGTACTGTGAGGAAACGAGTTAAACAGACTTAAATTTATAGTTGTGTGTAGTAGGAGATTATGGCACTGTGAATTGCTGGATCCCATGCCTAGTGGTATGCTTAGAATAGTTATGGACTTAAATTATCCTCAAAATATCATAAATAGTGTGGAACATCAATCTCAGTAACTTGAATATTATTAGATTTATCCAGTCATTATATGTTAGGAATTCTCTGGAAGTATAAAAGTGAAGAAGATATGCTGTTTACTTCAACTTGGTCTCTGTAAATCTACGTGTTTTTGCTGTCCCTTCTCATCACCCTAGAGAAGGATTTAAAAAATATGAAATATATAAAGTCTGTGAATATTGAATATCTTATGAGTTTCTATTTTTTCATCTAGGATCTCTTAACTCTTGCCAAAATGTCCTGCCAGCAGAACCAGAAGCAGTGCCAGCCTCCTCCCAAGTGTTCCCCTAAGTGCTCCCCTAAGTGTCCCCCTAAGAGTACCTCCAAGTGCTCAGCCTCATGCCTTCCTCCAGTCTCTACCTGCTGTAGCTCCAGTTCAGGGGACTGCTGTAGCTCTGGAAGTGGGGGCTGCTGCCTGAGCCACCACAGGCCCCACCGATCTCTTCGTCACAGACACCAGAGCTCTGGCTGCTGCAATAGTGGCAGTGGTGGTGCCTGTACCTGTGGCAGTCACTGTACCTGCAGTAGTGATTGCAACTGCCGCAATAGACAGCAGTCTGGTGGCTCTGGCTGTTGCTCTGGAGGCTACTGATGGCCGGGCCATAAGAAGCACAAAGAAACAGCACTGAAGAATTAAAGGGCAAAGATTATATTGGACTCCAGACATGTTAACCCACTTCTAGCTCTTGACTCTTCCTTTAAGCCCATTCACATCAACAATTATGGAATATTTGCTTTTCTGAGCTCTTCTCCAGCGGTATGTGTTGGATATGTGTTCTTCAGGATTCATATCAATGTTTATTCTCCTCATATTGTTGAAAAGAATTTCAAAGCATACGATTGAAAACAATAAATCTATTCTTAAGTCATCATTTACCATTTTACTTTTGTCATTTTTATCCTCCTGTGACTAAATCCTGACTCTTCTGGGATTAGCAGGATGTGTTTTCAACTTATGTTGCCTGGTAAAGAAATGTTAAATTTAAAAATATATCTCTGCATTTACAAAGTCACTAAATAAGGCAATAAATAAGAATTTCTTTTTAAAATTATTATTTAAAGAAGACAAAACAAAATAGAAAACAGGCAGAAATAGTACATACTGTCAAAGAAAAGAAATAAACAGTAATAAATCACTAGTAGATGAATACATATTGTCCCCCCACAAATAATTGTTCAAGATACAAAAGTGGAACATATAAATGGGAATTCAACCAGGGAGACTGCAAACAGTTCTGTTCAACTATCCAATGAAAACTAAGTAATATGGCTATCAATCCTATACACTTAGACATGTATGTATTTATCCATATCTTCATTTATGTTGAGACCTAGCAAAACTTATTAGATTAAAATCATTCTGAACAAAGATTAATAGTGTTGCTGGATTTCACAGCATGATACTCTGGAATCAGCACTGGGTACTGCAGTGCCCCTTTTTTTCCTTCAAATTATTTGTTCATTTCATCATGTATCATAAGATCAGTTCTCATATAGTGTTTATAGGTTTTACGCAAGCATGAGTCTTAACATGTATTTCTATCCTTTCTATATTAGAGGGAGAAACAGAACAAAGCAGGATTAAAACATATTCCTATAGACACATAAAACTAAAAAGACATAAAACTGCTGTATAAGGAGTTTTATCATGGTCACTGTGCTGTTTCTTGTTATCATCAACAGAATTGGCTCTATCATCAGATAAAGTATAATTGAACATATCATTACATAACAGAATTAATAGAAATAAACTTTGTAGATAGTGTAGAGCTACAAAAACAGGTAGTAAACAAATCAGAATGGATATCATGGTGAATCATTGTCATTTTCAGTACAGTTGTCTATACTCATCAACTTGATACCAGCAACCTAACAGTTTTGAATTAAATCTGTCAATAATAAGCAGCAATCAAGCAAGTCAGATTTAACTAAGATCAGTCATGATACAAAAGTTTAAGTCATACAGGGATCCTGATTGAGTTTACAGGAAATTAAAGATGACCACTGTACTATGTCCTGATATCTTCGGGATAGCTGTCTGTGCCCTCAAATCCAGTGCTTGTGTACAAACTAGGACAGAAGAAGTTCCAACCAAGCAGAGTGGTGTAAGTAATAAGGGTTTTAATTCCTGATACACTATTAGCTATATCTTCTGCTGGTTTTTTTTTGAAGACTATTCCTCCCCTTTACTCCCTCAGAATGAAATGTGTATATTTGAGTTTTCCCAACACTTATGGTTTTATATTGGGGGGCAACCTGCTATTACCTAAGTGATTCCAAACTTTCGTACTCCTGGACTGGATTTTTAGTTATGTTTCTTCATTTATTAAAACCTGCCTGTTTAACCTATCCATAAATACTGGCCCAGTTACCCCTATTACTCTCTGGTTCCCTATCGCATTGAGTTCTGTTTTCTTATATTTGATTTTGGTCCATATAACCTTCTTTAGGTTAACTATATTTCCTATAAAGAGTCTCTCGGTGGACCCTACCTCCTGATCCACTTTGACTGGGATTCTCCCTTTTTTCACTTAAGTTAGTGTATCTAGGCTATCTATATTAGAAATTATATCCCACCTTCTTTGCCTCATTTCTGTTGTGCTCTTTTTCTGTCATTAGTTGTCTTTCTTCTTCATTTCACTTTCTGCTCTGTTCATTGTGGCCTCTCTGCCACTGTTTCTGGAATCCTGGTACTTTTCTCTCTCTCTTTAGAATGTCATGCAGAGAATTGTAGAGTTGGGTTGGTGGTTGTGAATTCCCCCAGTCCCTCTTTATCTTGGAAACACCTTGTTTCTCCATTAATTTCTAGGGAAAGTTGTGCAGGATATATCAATCTTGGCTGGAGGTTATTGTCTTTCAAAGCTTGGATTATTTTGCCCCACGCTCTTGGAGATTTGATGGTTTGTGCCGAGAAGTCTGCTGTAATTCTGATGGATGTTCCCTTGTAAATGATCTGTTTCTTGTCTCTGACAGCTTTTAATGTTCTGTTTTTATATTGGATTTCTGGAATCTTGATTATTATATGCCTGGATGCAGTTCTGTTTTTATTGTAGGTGGCTAGAGTTCTGTATGCCTCATATATCTAAGCATCTTTTCCTTTTCCTATATTTGGGAAGTTTTTCTTAATTATTCCTGTGACTAGCCTTTGCAGTTCCTTTGTTTATACCCCTGCTTCTTCATTTGCATTCTTTATTCTTAAATTATAGATCCTTTGTCATCTTCTAACCTTTGTATTGTTACTGCTTGTTTCCTTGTTATTTTTAAGAAGTTTTTCCTTTCGTGTTCCAACATTACAAACCTGTCCTCCAGTTCAGATAATCTGTCCTTAGTTTCTTTCAAACTGTTATGCCAGTAGTCTTTTTTAGTATTACATAGCTTTTTAAATAAAAACACAACTTTGAAGACATTGCAGGACTTCAAAAGCAGTTAATAATCAAACCATAATGGGTATGTTATTACATCTTGTCATCTTCAGAGTGGTTGCCTCTACTCTTAGACTTGATATTATCAAGCATACCAAGTTTGAATAAAATCATTCAAGGCAAAACAGCACTTTAACAAACCAGCTTCAAATAAGATCAGTCATAGTAAGACAATGTAAGTAATACAGGGCTTCAGTTTAAGTTAAAGGAAATTAAGGATAGTTACCATGGAATAGCTTTCTATTTTGGGGATAGCTATCTGTGCCCTCAAATCTAGTATGAGGAGGCTGACCTGAACAAAATAAAATCAAACTAAGCAGAGCAATAAGATTACTGTGGCTTTTAAATCCTGATACACTATTAACAATGTCTTTTGCCTTTCTTTTTTTAGGCAATTCCTCACCTTTCCCTTTCTCAAGATGCTTTGTGTATTTTAGGTCCCACTAACTCCTTTAGTTTTTAGATGAAGGGGGCAACCTGCTATCTATCTGAATGATGCTGAACCTTTTTACCCCTGAGATTGATCTTGAGCTGTACTCTTACTTACTAAAGCCACAAGGTTTTCCTTCCTTCTAACTTTGTAGTTCTACACTGCACAAAAGTGTCATACCTTTCCAACCTATCTGCCACTATTGGACAAGTTGTCCCTATTTCTCTCTGGTTCCCTGTCACTTAGAGCTTCATTTTTTCATCTTTGACTTTCAGTTTATTAACTTTCTTTCAAATTGAGTATATTTCCTGTTCAGAGCATCTTGACTGATCCTGCCTCCTAATCTACTCTGCCTGTGTTTCTTTTTGTTAGTGTATCTAGGCTATGTTAAAAATTATAGCCTACCTTTTCTGCCTCAACTCTGCTATTCTATTTTTCTGCTATTATTTGTCCATTTTTCTCCTTCATTCCACTGTCCTCCTTGTTCACTGAGGCCTCTCTGTCACTGTTTCTGGAACCTCGTATTTTTTTTTCTTTCTCTTTCTAAAATATCCTTCAGTATTTTTTGTAGGGTTGGATTGGTGGCCATGAACTCCCACAGTTCCTCTTTGTCTTGGAAACACCTTGTTTCTCCATTAATTTTGAGAGAGAGATTTTTCAGGGTACATTAATCTTGGTTGGTGGTTATTTTGTTTCAGGGCTTAGACTATTTCCCCCCAGGCTCTTCTCGATTTAATAGTTTGCAGTGATAAGTCTGTCCTTACTTTGATGATTTTTCCTTTGTAAATGATCTGCTTCTTTTCTCTGGCCACTTTTAATATTCTGTTCTTATTGTGGATTTCTGGAATCTTGATTATTATATGTCTGGGTGTAGATCTGTTTTGGTTGTAGTTGGCTGGAGTTCTGTGTGCCTCATTTATCTGGATATCATTTTTTTCCCTATGCCTGGGAAATTTTCCTTAATTATTTCTGTGAATAATGTTTGTAATTCATTTGTGGTTACTCTTGCTTCTTCGCTTACATTTTTTATTCTTAAGTTAGAGATCCTCTGGTCATCTTCTAGCCTTTGAAATATTATTTCTTGGTTCCTTGTTATTTTTAATAGGTCTTTTCTTTCAGGATCACACATTGCAAATCTCTCTTCAAGTTTTGAAATGCTAACCTTTGTTTCTGTCAAGGTATTTGCCAGCTTCCAATGGAGTTTTTAGTTTCCTGGTAGTCTCTTTGCATCTGTTTCATGTATTCTAGATTTTGTTTATATTCTTCACCAAAGGCTTCTCTTCCTTTTCCGGGTTCCTCCCTTCTTCCCTGTGTGTTTCATTGAGAGGGGCTTATTTCTTTAAATCTTCTGTATTTATCTCTCCTGGGCTTATTTTCCCAGGGTCAGTTGCTGGAGGTTTTGTCTTATCTTTTGCTCTTGTCGTGTTTCTGGTTTCTTTCAGAAAGGTGTGTGGAGGAGGTCTCAGACCGTCTCTGTATTCTTTACAGTTTTTCTAAAGCATGCTGGCTGGGGTTTTGCTGCTTTCTCCAGTTTGCTGTTATCTGAGGTGCATGCGGGGACACTGCGGGTTGGCCTCTCCCCTCTAAGCCAGTCAACCTGGGACTGCCTTCAGCACTTTATGCTGTGCTGTGGCGGAGGTCACATGGTTGGAACAATTTCATCCCTGGCTATTGGTTCCCGACCAGTGGTGTGGTTCAGCCCAAGCTGCTCCCACCAATCCTCTCTCAGCCAGGGATGGTTGACTGATGCCTCTGTGGCACCGAGCTCTGCCCTACTCCAAGATGTCTTCCAATCAGCCTCCCATGCCATGGGACCCAATTCCCAGCACTCACCCAGAGCCAATAAAGCTCTCCACTTTGGCTTCAGTACACACTGCACTGCATCCTCCCACCAAGGGCCCGGGACTCACTACCTCCCGTTATCAGCAGCCGTGGCTTCAGCGCAACCTTGAATCCTCTGACTCCATGGCACACCCAGCATAGCATGGAATGGGTCTCAGTGAGCATGTCAGGCTTCAGCCCTCC